AATAAATATAAATAGATAGATATGTATATATATATATATATATATATATATATATATATATATATAGATAGATATGTATATATACGTGGTATACGGCACGTTATATATTCTTGCATGAAGAGTGAAGTGTGAGGATCATCACAAATTATCGTATTACTATCATTATATCATTTTGGACTTTTTGAATTGATTATTTGTTCACTAATTTTGTGCATCAGTATACATATTGTTTCACAATGTGCAAATAGGAGTGTGTTTGTCACTTTTTTCACTAAATATTCCCCGTGAGGGAATTCACGTATGACACAACTATTTTATTATTTATGTATTGATTTATCACCTTGGATATATATATGTAGGGGATGTATATAGAGTTTGTGCATTTTAACACATAATTTGTTAGTATTATTAGCGCTACACTATTTATTTGAATTGGTTTATATAACAATGCTCTAAGCAGGGGCGGACTGACAACTCATGGGGCCCCCGGGCAATAGGGGTCATGGGGCCCCTGTGTCCTTACCCAAAGTCAAAAAAGCCTATGAAAAAGGTACCAGGGGCATCTCATGGGGCCCCCTAATGACCCCGGGCCCTCGGGCAGTGCCCGAGTTTCCAAATGGTCAGTCCGCCCCTGGGTCTAACGTTGATGAAAGCTGAAAAAATGCTAAGGCCTCATGCACAGTGGACATTATAAAAACGCCAACTGTAGAATGCTGCAATGAAAACGTGAGGTTTTTTTGCTTTTTTTCAGCGTTTTTTAGCGTTTGCGTACTTTAGTAAAGTTATACTCCCACAAAATCTTTAGGCTCAAAAACACTTATAAATGCCGGATAGCCGCGTTTTTTAGTCCTCATGCACACTGGATGTTTTTACAGCGGTTGTTCTTGGCTTTTTTTTCTAAGGCCAGTAAACTCCCCAGCATGTTATCCTATGTGTCCATACACACATAGACTGTGATCAACGTTTTTTGGCTGGGATGTTTTTTGGCTGGAAAAAAAACCCAGGACTAGTGAGTTTTTCAAGGAGTTTTTTAGCTGTAAAAATGCTGAATAATGCGGCAAAATGTGGTAAAACGACACAAATTGGTGTTTTTGGACTTTTTTTGACCCCCAAAAGTTTTTGTGGGGGAAAAAAAACGCTAAAAAACAAAAAAATGAAGGAAAACGCCACTACACGCGGCAAAACGCTAATGCAAAAACACTGAAAAACTCACATTTTTAACGTGACTTTATACAGCTAACGTTACCAGCGTTATCAAAACGTCCCGTGTGCGTGATGACTTCATGCACACTGGGCGTAAAAATCATAATTTTTTTTTTGCTAGAAAATTACTTAGAGCCCTCAAACGTTATATATTTTTTAAGCAGAAGCCCCAGAAAATAAAATGGTGGGTGTTGCGGTTTTTTATGCCACATGGTATTTGCACAGCGATTTTTCAAATGGAATATGTTTGGGAAAAAATACACTTTAATGAATTTTAATGAAATAAAAAAAACACAATATATACACAATTTTTTGTAAAATATGAAAGATGATGTTGTTTTTCATGCACACTGGGCATAAAAATCATTATTTTTTTTTTAATTACTTAGAGCCCCCAAATATCATATATTTTTTAAGCAGAGGCCCCAGAGAATAAAATGGCGGGTGTTGCGGTTTTTTATGCCAAATGGTATTTGCACAGCGATTTTTCAAATGGAATATTTTTGGGAAAAAATACACTTTGATGAATTTTAATGAAATAAAAAAACACAAAATATACACAATTTTTTATAAAAGATGATGTTGTTTTTCATGCACACTGGGCATAAAAATCATCATTTTTTTGCTAGAAAAACCCTAAAAAAAACAAAAACGCGGGAAAACGCCACTAAACACTAATGCAAAAACACTGAAAAAAAAGCTGAAAAACTCACATTTGTAACGTGACTTTACACAGCTAATTTTACCAGCGTTATCAAAACATCCCGTGTGCGTGATGACTTCATGCACACTGGGCGTAAAAATCATCATTTTTTTGCTAGAAAAACCCTAAAAAACAAAACGCGGGAAAACACAGCTAAACGCAGAAAAACGCCACTAAACACTAGTGCAAAAACACTGAAAAAAAAGCTGAAAAACTCACATTTTTAACATGACTTTACACAGCTAATTTTGCCAGCGTTATCAAAACATCCCATATGCGTGATGACTTCATGCACACTGGGCGTAAAAATCATCATTTTTTTTTTAATTACTTAGAGCCCCCAAACATCATATATATTTTTTAAGCAGAGGCCCCAGAGAATAAAATGGCGGGTGTTGCGGTTTTTTATGCCACATGGTATTTGCACAGCGATTTTTCAAATGGAATTTTTTTGGAAAAAATACACTTTGATGAATTTTAATGAAAAAAAAAAAACCAATATATAACACATTTTTTTGTAAAATATAAAAGATGATGTTATGTTTTTCATGCACACTGGGCGTAAAAATCATAATTTTTTTGCTAGAAAATTACTTAGAGCCCCCAAACATCATATATATTTTTTAAGTAGAGGCCCCAGAGAATAAAATGGTGGGTGTTGCAATTTTTATGCCACATGGTATTTGCACAGCGATTTTTCAAATGGAATTTTTTGGAAAAAATACACTTTGATGAATTTTAATAAGAAAAAAAAACACAATATATATATATTTTTTTATAAAATATAAAAGATGATGTTATGGTTTTTTTTTTTCTATGGTTGAACTGGATGAACTTTTGTCTTTTTTCAGCCAGACTAACTATATACGACGACATGCTAACAAGTCATGCTTTAAAATTGCTCACGCTTGTGGAATGACGTTGAAATATGGTAATTAAAAACCTCCATGGGCGACGCTTTAAAAATATTTATAGGTTATCAGCTTATAGTAATAGAGGAGGTCTAGCCCTAGAAATATTGCTCTCACTAGAATGTTCATGGCAATACCTCACAAGTGTGGTGTGAAAACTGCGGGTGTGATCTAAATGTGCGTTCGCTACTGCGTGTACACATTGGGGGATGGGGATGCTTGCAAAAAAAAAGTTTTCATTTATTTTATAATTTTTTTATTTTTACACTGTCCCTTTTTTTTATCACTTTTATCCCTATCACAAGAAATGCAAACATCCCATGTGATATATATAAGGCAGGTCCTCATCTGGGGTCTATGAGACTCCATATCTGCCCTCTACCCTGAAAAGCGTGAGATTTAAAAAAAAAAAAAAAGCATTGATCTCAGGTTCTTCAGAAAAAAATGGCAATGTTTACATCTGTGAAAACTGGATGTGACGTCATGATGTCACTAATGGCCTCCCAGGACCATACAGAGGGCTGGGGACCATTTGGTCCATGACCAGCTCTATGACAATCTGGCGGCACCACCAGATCAGTTCCAGGGCGTTCCGATCACTCAGGAGAGCCCCGAGAGGTGCCAGTGGCCAGCAGAGGGGCCATCCCCTCCCACTGACTGTAAAAGCAATCCAGGGGCTAATTAGTCACTAGAACAACTTTTACACCGTAGGGCATCGCTGGCTGAACACAAAGATACTGGGATGATGCCTGTAGCTACAGGCATCATCCAAGAATAACCACTGAAAGTCCAGGATGGCATATGAGGTCCTATTGGTGGCAAATGGTGCTCTCTGTCAAATTTGTATTTCTGTCTGTGTCCCCAGATTGATGAGGTTCACCACTCCAGATGACTATTTATTTATTTCAGGTACTTATATAGCACTGTCAATTTACGCAGTGCTTTACATATATATTGTACATTCACATCAGTCCCTAACCCTCAAGGGGGTGTACAATCTAAGGTCCCTAACCCTCAAGGGGCGTACAATCTAAGGTCCCTAACCCTCAAGGGGAGTACAATCTAAGGTCCCTAACCCTCAAGGGGTGTTCAATCTAAGGTCCCTAACCCTCAAGGGGCGTACAATCTAAGGTCCCTAACCCTCAAGGGGCATACAATCTAAGGTCCCTAACCCTCAAGGGGCGTACAATCTAAGGTCCCTAACCCTCAAGGGGCGTACAATCTAAGGTCCCTAACCCTCAAGGGGCGTACAATCTAAGGTCCCTAACCCTCAAGGGGCGTACAATATAAGGTCCCTAACCCTCAAGAGGCGTACAATCTAAGGTCCCTAACCCTCAAGGGGCGTACAATCTAAGGTCCCTAACCCTCAAGGGGCGTACAATCTAAGGTCCCTAACCCTCAAGGGGCGTACAATCTAAGGTCCCTAACCCTCAAGAGGCGTACAATCTAAGGTCCCTAACCCTCAAGGGGTGTACAATCTAAGGTTCCTAACCCTCAAGGGGCATACAATCTAAGGTCCCTAACCCTCAAGGGGTGTACAATCTAAGGTCCCTAACTCACATTCATACATACACATACTAGGGTCAGTTTAGACAGGATCCAATTAACCTACCTGCATGTCTTTGGTGTGTGGGAGGAAACCAGAGTACCCGGAGGAAACCCACGTAGGCACAGGGAGAACATGCAAACTCCAGGCAGGTGGTGCCTTGGTTGGGATTCGAACCAACGACCCGAGTACTGCCAGATGGAAGTGCTAACCACTAAGCCACTGTGCCACCCAAACTGAAAGTCAGGGGAATCAAACATTTTACAAGTGTCCCCAGAACAAAAGGAGGGAGGAAATCTTCCAAAGGGATCATCTGTCCTGGGGACACATGTCTAAGAGGGGAATTCCCTTCACTTTGGGAGATTTCCTCCAATGTCCTGCTGCTTCTCAGGAATAGGAACAGCAAACATAAAGTACCTGGTGGAGGTCTAACCCATTCCTACTCTATCCAAAACTAAAAATGTTTTAGACATTAAACATCTTCAGACAGGTTCATCCTCCTCGGATTATCTAATGTCCCATACCTCCAAGTGATATATTTCCTTGTGTTCCTTCTGATGTACTGTACATAATCACTTTGTCAGGAAATCTTCTACTGATCGTTGTGGTGAGGATCAATCGAAAGCTACAGACCCCCATGTACTTCTTCCTGAGTAACCTCTCCATTATCGACATCTTGTACTCGTCTTCCATCGTTCCCAAACTTCTCATAAACACTCTGGCCAGAGATAAAAGTATCTCCTTGTTGGGATGTGCATTACAGATGTTCTTCGCTATAGCTTTAGGGGCAACGGAATGTATTATACTAGCCGTCATGGCATATGACAGGTATGTTGCCATCTGTAGACCATTGCACTACAACACCATCATGAACAAGACATTGTGTGCCAGTTTAGCAGCAGGATCATGGGGAATTTGCCTCCTAAACTCTGGTGTGCATGTTGTCCTCACCTTCCAACTCCCCTATTGCAAGTCCCACCACGTCAACCACTTCTTCTGTGAGATGCCGCCTTTTTTTCGAATGTCTTGCCGAGATACTCGTTTCAATGAGATGCTGATGTACAGTTGCAAGAAAAAGTATGTGAACCCCTTGGGATTATGTGGAGTTTTGCATGAATTGGGCATAAAATGTGCTTTGAACGTCATCTAAGTCACAACAATAGAAGAACACAGTCTGCTGAACATAATACTACACAAACATTAGATGTTGCCATGGTTTAATTGCACATAACATGTAAACATTCACAGTGCAGGGAGGAAAAAGTATGTGAGGCCCTAGCTTAATGACTTCTCCCAGAGCTAATTGGAGCCAGGAGTGAGCCAACCTTGACTCCAATCAGTGTGATGATATTGGATGTGTTGCTGACAGCTGTCCTGCCCTTAAAAAACACACACCTGTTTTGGGTTTACTGGTTTCAAGAAGCACTGTCTGATGTGAACCATGCCTCGCAGAAAAGAGCTCTCAGAAGACCTACGATCAAGAATTGTTGACTTGCATGAAGCTGGAAAGGGTTACAAAAGTATCTCCAAAAGCCTTGATGTTCATGTGTCCACGGTAAGACAGACTGTCTACAAATGGAGAAAGTTTAGCACTGTTGCTACTCCTCCTAGGCGTGGTCGTCCTGTAAAAATTACTGCAAAAGCACAGCGCAGAATGCTGCATGAGGTAAAGAAGAATCCTAGAGTGTCAGCTAAAGACCTACAGAAATCTCTGGCACATGCTAGCATTTTTGTTGACACATCTACAATAAGGAAAACATTAAACAAGAATGGTGTACATGGGAGGACACCACGGAGGAAGTCATTGCTGTCCAAAAAGAATATTGCAGCACGTTTGAAGTTTGCAAAAGAGCACCTGGATGTTCCACAGCACTACTGGCAAAATATACTGTGGACAGATGAAACCAAGATTGAGTTGTTTGGGAAGAACACACAACACTATGTGTGGAGAAAAAAAGGCACAGCACACCAAAATCAAAACCTCATCCCCACTGTAAAACATGGCGGAGGGAGCATCATGGTATGGGGCTGCTTTGCTGCCTCAGGGCCTGGACGGATTGTTGTCATTGATGGGAAAATGAATTCCAGAGTTTATCAAGACATTTTGCAGGAAAACGTACGACCATCTGTCCGCCAACTGAAGCTCCGCAGAGGATGGGTGATGCAACAGGACAATCACCCAAAGCATACAAGTAATTCAACAAAACAATGGCTGCAACAGTACAGAATACGCCTTCTGGAGTGGCCCAGTCAGAGTCCTGACCTCAACCCGATTGAAATGCTGTGGCATGACCTTAAGAGAGCGATTCACACCAGACATCCCAATAATATTGCTACACTGAAACAGTTTTGTGAAGAGGAGTGGTCCAAAATTACTCCAGATCGTTGTGCAGGTCTGATCTGCAACTACAGGAAACGTTTGGTTGAGGTTATTGCTGCCAAAGGAGGGTCAACCAGTTATTAAGTCCAAAGGTTCACATACTTTTTCCTCCCTGCACTGTGAATGTTTACATGTTATGTGCAATTAAACCATGGCAACATCTAATGTTTGTGTAGTATTATGTTCAGCAGACTGTGTTCTTCTATTGTTGTGACTTAGATGACGTTCAGAGCACATTTTATGCCCAATTCATGCAAAACTCCACGTAATCCCAAGGGGTTCACATACTTTTTCTTGCAACTGTATATTCTAGCAGGTATCTTAGTCATGTGCTCTTTCTGCTTGACTCTAATTTCATACATCCATATCATCTCCACCATCTTGAAGATCCATTCCTCCGATGGAAGACAAAAAGCTTTCTCCACATGTGCCTCTCACCTGACCGTGGTGAGTCTCTACTATGGGACCATCATGTTTATGTATATGAGACCCCGTTCTACTTATTCTGCAGAAATTGACAAAACTGTTTCCATTTTCTATACGGCAGTGACGCCCATGTTGAACCCCATCATCTATAGTATGAGGAACAAGGATGTCAAAGAGACAATAAAACAAAGCAGAGAAATAAAGATCTCTAGTGAAAGAGGCTGATTGGAGACAATGCATTTTATTATTTTCTTTTATTTGCAAAGGGGTTTCAAAAGGTATATAAGGAGAATGTAGTATATATATTGTATACAGGTACTGTACATAGGATGTATGGCATAGAAGGCCAGTCAGTTACACTACTGGCGCAATAATGCATTATATTGCAGTATATACAATGATCAGTGTAAATAACAATATATAATCAATACTGTACACAGGGGTGGACTGACAACTCATGGGGCCCCCGGGCAATAGGGGATCATGGGGCCCCTGTGTCCTTGCCCAAACTCAAAAAAGCCTATGAAAAAGGTACCAGGGGCATCTCATGGGGCCCCCTACTGACCCCGGGCCCTCGGGCAGTGTCCGAGTTTCCAATTGGTCAGTCTGCCCCTGACTGTAATTGATAAAGAATGAGAGTGCAGCGCTAACCCAAATAGCGATTAAACATATGATAGACCACATATGATAGTGGATCAGTAAAATGTCAGTGTAAGTTCATCAGATGTGCTGAAAATGCATACAGTCTCCAATATGTAAAGAACCAAAAGTAGTGACTTTCAGAAATGATAATAGCCAAATAATGCACTAACCAGATAGCGCATATTAAAGCGCATGGAGCATTTAAGACCTGCCCCTGGTGCTCAGCCACTGTATCACTGGAGCCAGGAGATGTCATCTATAGGGTGACCACTAGATGTCATCTATCCGGATGGAAGCTGAGTCCAGCCACTGTATTAGAGGATCAGGCGGATGTCATCTATAGGGCGACCACTAGATGTCATCCGTTCCAGGAGGAGCTGTGTCATGGATCCAGGGATGTCACTTGCAGATGTGTCCTTTGCTAAGCACAGCCCCAGGACCTTCAGAATTACAGGCTCCCCAGAAATAAAGAGCCCGTGGAAAAAGGCCTCAAATAGTGTGATATCGTTTATTAAAGTAGGTAAATAATCAGAAAAGAACTTACTAACAACGGTTCAGCTGCTCATAAACGGCCAGACCGGAGGTACATGTACACAGGATATAAATAGCTTGGCACTTCCCCTAGCTATTTATATCCTGTGTACATGTACCTCCGGTCTGGCCGTTTATGAGCAGCTGAACCGTTGTTAGTAAGTTCTTTTCTGATTATTTACCTACTTTAATAAACGATATCACACTATTTGAGGCCTTTTTCCACGGGCTCTTTATTTCTGGGGAGCCTGTAATTCTGAAGGTCCTGGGGCTGTGCTTAGCAAAGGACACATCTGCAAGTGACATCCCTGGATCCATGACACAGCTCCTCCTGGAACGGATGACATCTAGTGGTCGCCCTATAGATGACATCCGCCTGATCCTCTAATACAGTGGCTGGACTCAGCTTCCATCCGGATAGATGACATCTAGTGGTCACCCTATAGATGACATCTCCTGGCTCCAGTGATACAGTGGCTGAGCACCAGGGGCAGGTCTTAAATGCTCCATGCGCTTTAATATGCGCTATCTGGTTAGTGCATTATTTGGCTATTATCATTTCTGAAAGTCACTACTTTTGGTTCTTTACATATTGGAGACTGTATGCATTTTCAGCACATCTGATGAACTTACACTGACATTTTACTGATCCACTATCATATGTGGTCTATCATATGTTTAATCGCTATTTGGGTTAGCGCTGCACTCTCATTCTTTATCAATTACTTTGGAGGTTCCCGAGGTGCCTTTTTGTGCAAGCAGCTACCGTACTTACACCTATACACTGCGCTCGATTTTATATATAGATTTTATATATAAGTTTATTTTGCCCCTGACTGTACATAAGTTTCATCTGGCAAGAGGAAAACCTCAGAGATGTCTACGACCAAATGGAGAGGGGATGTCACTATGTCATGTCACAGCAATTGGATCGGGACTAGGTCATACTGCCACAGGGAGAATGTCATGTGGTAGCATGGCTTGACATATATTTAAAAATGTATGCAACAAAATTCTTTCATTTCCATTTAATGTTAAAATAAATGTTTCAGTCTTATGTGTTGACAAGGTGGATTGAGTACTGCTGAATTTTTTATTGTCCAGTTGCAACAATGGTATATTAAAAAAAAAAAGTGGGAGAACTGTAGATTGTATAAGAATGACTAGACCTTGGTTGGTTCATTGATTGTCACTGTAGAGTGTTGGTCTTCAAACTTCGGCTTCAAGGGGTGGATGTGGCCCTTTGTTTGATATGAGACACTATTCTGCCAACTGACATTAACAATGGGGCACCATTTCTCCCACTGATACCAACAATGGGGCACCATTTCTCCCACTGATACCAACAATGGGGCACCATTTCTCCCACTGATACCAACAATGGGGCACTATTCCTCCCACTAATACCAATGTTTGGGCACCATTTCTCCCACTGATACCAACAATGAGGCATTATTTCTCTCACTGATACCAACAATGGGGCACCATTTCTCCCACTGAAACCAACAATGGGGCACTATTTCTCCCACTAATACCAATGTTGGGGCACCATTTCACCCACTGAAACCAACAATGGGGCACTATTTCTCCCACTAATACCAATGTTGGGGCACTATTTCTCTCACTGATACCAACAATGGGGCACCATTTCTCCCACTGAAACCAACAATGGGGCACTATTTCTCCCACTAATACCAATGATGGGGCACTATTCCTCCCACTGATACCAACAATGGGGCACTATTTCTTCCACTAATACTAATTTTGGGGCACCATTTCTCCCACTGATACCAACAATGTGGCACTATTTCTCCCACTGTTACCAACAATGGGGCACTATTTCTCCCCACTGATACCAACAATGGGGCACCATTTCTCCCACTAGTACCAATGATAGGGCACTATTTCTCCCACTGATACCAACAATGGGGCACTATTCCTCCCACTAATACCAATGTTGAGGCACTATTCCTCCTACTGATACCAACAATGGGGAACTATTCCTCCCACTAATACCAATGTTGGGGCACCAGTTCTCCCACTGATGCCAACAATGGGACATTATTTCTCCCACTGATTCCAACAATGGGGCACCATTTCTCACACTGAAACCAACAATGGGGCACTGTTTCTTCCGCTAATACCAATTTTGGGGCACCATTTTTCCCACTGATACTAACAATGGGGCACTATGCCTCCCACTAATACCAATGTCTGGCACCATTTCTCCCACTGATATGAACAATGGGACACTATTTCTCCCACTGATACCAACAATGGGGCACTATTTCTCCCACTAATACCAATGATGGGGCACTATTCCTCTCACTGACACCAACAATGGGGCATTATGCCTCCCACTAATATCAATGTTGGGGCACCATTTCTCCCACTGAAACCAACAATGGGGCACTATTTCTCCCACTAATACCAATGATGGGGCACTATTCCTCCCACTGATACCAACAATGGGGCACTATTTCTTCCACTAATACTAATTTTGGGGCACCATTTCTCCCACTGATACCAACAATGGGGCACTATTTCTCCCACTGATACCAACAATGGGGCACCATTTCTCCCACTGAAACCAACAATGGGGCACTATTTCTCCCACTAGTACCAATGATAGGGCACTATTTCTCCCACTGATACCAACAATGGGGCACTATTCCTCCCACTAATACCAATGTTGAGGCACTATTCCTCCTACTGATACCAACAATGGGGAACTATTCCTCACACTAATACCAATGTTGGGGCACCATTTCTCCCACTGATGCCAACAATGGGACATTATTTCTCCCACTGATACCAACAATGGGGCAGCATTTCTCACACTGAAACCAACAATGGGGCACTGTTTCTCCCGCTAATACCAATTTTGGGGCACCATTTCTCCCACTGATACTAACAATGGGGCACTATGCCTCCCACTAATACCAATGTCTGGCACCATTTCTCCCACTGATATGAACAATGGGACACTATTTCTCCCACTGATACCAACAATGGGGCACTATTTCTCCCACTAATACCAATGATGGGGCACTATTCCTCTCACTGACACCAACAATGGGGCATTATGCCTCCCACTGATATCAATGTTGGGGCACCATTTCTCCCACTGATACCAACAATGGGGAACTATTCCTCCCACTAATACCAATGTTGGGGCACCATTTCTCCCACTGATGCCAACAATGGGACATTATTTCTCCCACTGATACCAACAATGGGGCACCATTTCTCACACTGAAACCAACAATGGGGCACTGTTTCTCCCGCTAATACCAATTTTGGGGCACCATTTCTCCCACTGATACTAACAATGGGGCACTATGCCTCCCACTAATACCAATGTCTGGCACCATTTCTCCCACTGATATGAACAATGGGACACTATTTCTCTCACTGATACCAACAATGGGGCACTATTTCTCCCACTAATACCAATGATGGGGCACTATTCCTCTCACTGACACCAACAATGGGGCACTATGCCTCCCACTAATATCAATGTTGGGGCACCATTTCTCCCCACTGATACCAACAATGGGGCACTATTCCTCCCACTAATATCAAAGTTGGGGCACCATTTCTCCCACTGATATGAACAATGGGGCACTATTCCTCCCACTAATACCAAATGTGGCGATATTATTATTACACAGTATTTATAAAGCGCCAATAGTTTGCTCAGCACTGTACATTACAAGATATTTACTCCCACTGATGCCAGGAAAATTTCCACTCCCACTTGCCAAAGTCTGGCCCCCTAAAGCCTGAAGGACAATAAACTGGCCATTTGCTTAGAAAGTTTAGAGACCCCTGCTGTAGAGGATAAATAAAAACAAAGTTCTGCTTTTGTGGCTAGGAAAGCTGCAGTGGAGGTTCCCATTACTTACCATGTGCAAATGTAGGTGC